TATTTAGAAGCTTAGTGTGTCCGGGAAAACACTCGGAGAGCTGGGGAAACCAGAGAAGGGAGTGCAGAGTGGAGCGCAGTCCCAGCTCAACCTGCAACCAGGGAGCAGGAGCGCCGGCTGTGGGGTGGAGCTCGCGTCCTGCTCCCCCGGCCTTTCATCACCGGGCACTTAAGAGCCAGAGCAGAAGGGGTGAGTCCCGGAGCTGTGCCCCACGCAGAGCTGCCCGGTCCCACCCCAGGTCTTCCCCGCCATGACCTGGCCGGTGCTGCTGGGTGCACTACTGTGCACAATGCGCGTCGGATCAGGCACCCCGGACTCCGAGGGCTTCTTACCCCTTGCGCCCCATAACTGCCCCCACAAATGCATCTGCGCTGCCGACCTGCTGAGCTGCGCCGGCCTTGGGCTGGAGGACGTGCCGGCGGTGTTACCTGCGGCTGCTGCTCAACTCGACCTGAGCCACAACGCGCTCCAGCGCCTGCGCCCTGGCTGGCTAACGCCCCTCTCCCAACTGCGAGCCCTGCGCCTGGGTCACAACGAACTGGAGGCACTGGGTCGCAGTGTCTTCACCAATGCCAGCGGCCTGCAGCTTCTCGATTTATCATCGAATGCGCTGCGGGTGCTCGGCCGCCACGACCTGGAAGGGCTGGGGGCGCTGGAGACGCTGTTTCTGTTCAATAACCGCCTGGCGCACTTGGACCGGCTTGCCTTCCAGGGCCTGGGGGCACTCCGCCTGCTCTACCTGGGCTGCAACGAGTTGGCATCCTTCTCTTTCGACCGCCTGCATGGTCTGAGCGTGACCCACCTCCGCACTCTGGATCTCTCCTCCAACCGCCTGGGACAAATCCCCGTACCCGACCTGGCTGCACTGCCGGCCTTTCTCAAGAACGGCCTTTACTTGCACAACAACCCACTGCCCTGCGACTGCCGCCTCTACCACCTGCTGCAGCGCTGGCACCAGCGGGGACTGAGCGCTGTGAGTGACTTCGCACACGAATACATGTGCCTGGCTTTCAAGGTCCCCACCTCCCGCGTGCGCTTCTTTGAGCACAGCCGCGTCTTCGAGAACTGCTCGGCTGCCCTGGCTCGCGGCCTAGAGTGGCCCGAAGAGCAGCTGCAGGTGCAGGTGGGTGGGTCCCTGAGGCTACACTGCAACACCAGTGCCCCCGCCCTGCACGTTGCCTGGGTCTCACCCCAACAAGAGCTGCTGGTGGCGCCAGGATCCCGCAATGGCAGCATTGCGGTGCTGGCTGATGGCAGCCTGGCCATCAGAAGAGTGCAGCCATGGCATGAGGGTGTCTTTGTGTGCCTGGCCACGGGGCCCCGCCTGCATCACAACCAAACGCATGAGTACAATGTGAGCGTGCACTTCCCGCACCCTGAGCTCGAGGCTTTCAACACTGGCTACACCACGCTGCTGGGCTGCGCGGTCGGCCTGGTGCTGGTGCTGCTCTACCTGTTCGCACCACCCTGCCCTGGCTGCCGCCGCTGCTGCCGCCGCACCTGCCGCTGCCGGCCCAGAGCACCCAGCCCACTCCAGGAGCTGAGTGCACAGTCCTCGGTGCTCAGCACCACGCCGCCCGACGCACCCAGCCGCAAGGCCAGTGTCCACAAGCATGTGGTCTTTTTGGAGCCGGGCAGGAGGGGCCTCAATGGTCGTGTGCAGCTGGCAGTAGCTGAGGACTTTGATCTCTACAACCCCATGGGTCTGCGGTTCAAGGTTGGCTCTGAGTCCACTAGTTCCACAGGCTCTGAGGGGCTGGTGATGACCTAGGCTGCCCAGGGCTCCCATCCAGGCCACCGCCTGCCTGCTGCTTGCCCTGCTCCCTGCTGCCACGCACAGTACTACCAGCTGCTGGGGGGAAGCACTGGGCTAGTCCTCTGCCTACACCACAGTGGCCCCACTCACCAGTAGAGGGGTTGGGGTCCCTGACCACTCTCCAGCGTCGCCTCAGCACAGGGCCTGCTTGGGCCCCCTTTCCTTGGGACGTGAGGATTGGAACCAAGGCCCATCAGGAAGAGTCCTTGCCTTGGAGCCCAGGTCACCCTTGGGCCAAGGTAGCTCTCCAGGAGTGGTGGTGAGGAACTGAGGCATAGCCACTTCCCCTCACCCCCAAAGGGGGTAAGGGAGTGGGCCACAGGGGAAAGGGGAGGGCTCCAAAGGAAGGCCTGGCCCCCACCCCCAGGGTGGAAGGAGGAAACAAGCCCCCCTCCAGTGAAACAGGACTTGATGCACCAACATTCAACCTACTTCCAGCTTCACAAATCCACACAGAGTCTACTGGGCAGGCAAGGCTCCTCAAGAGACCCCGGGGGGCCTGGCCTGGGCCCCAGCCTGGGTGGCCCTGCTCCCTCTGTGGCCAGGAGCATCACAGGCCACTCTGAGGGCAGAGCCTCTCCCATGGGCTCACAAGACAGCAGCAAGGGGCACTGTGGCCCTACGTCCCCAGCTTTTCAGCAGTAAAAGCCTGCTGAGCAATGGCCAAGATGGATGGGCAGAGCCGGGTCTCTGTCCCTAGAGGGTAGAAGCCTCTTAAGGGCTGGCACTGGTCTCTGCCTAATGGCAGAGGCAGGGCCCTGGCTTCATATAGCTCTCACCGCTCCCACTGCAGGGAGGCAGGGAAGGGGGGCTGGGACCCTCCTGTGTGGGGGCTGAGATGGGGGCCCCTCAAAAGTCCTGAATCTGACTGTCGTGGAGTTTCCTAATAAAGGCAGGACATGCTCATTGCCGGCGCCTTCGCAGACACAGGTAGCAGTGTGCGCTCAGTCTGGATCTCAGCGGTGCTGTCCTAGACATCCCAGGATGCCACCTCCACCCCGCCAGAGTCTTGGTGCCCCTGCCCCACCTGAGGCTCTGACCACGGGCTGAGGGATCCTGTTGTGCTGGAGTCCCCAAGTCTCCTACTCAGCCACTGCTACTGACACCTACTTAGGCATTTTAGAGCTCTCCACCCTTCCTCTACCTCAAAATCTTATCCTGAGGTCCATTTTAGAGATGAGGCAGAGCTGCAGGGAGGCCTGTCCAGCCCTGTCCCCATCAGACACAACCAGCTCCCACAGGGGCCCACAGTCCCCAACACTCACCCTGAGGCTGGGCCATGCACCAGGAGCCGCACCAGGATGCCTGTCACCGCCACCAGGATAGGGTAGTGGTCCACACTTTCCAGGCCTGAGAGAGGGCAAGAGGGGATGCGCTACTTGCGCCCTCCCACTGCAGGGGCTCCTGGCTAGCCTGGCTGGTGCCACCCCCCTTCCCATTGTCCTCCCCACAGTGGGGTGCACTAAGGCTGGGGGTGCCAAGCCTGGCTGTCCTGGTACAGAGTGAAGAGTGGTATCACTGTTCCTAGCCGAGGAAGCAGGGCCTGGTGTGTAGAGTGCAGGGCCCCTAGGTCCTCACCAGGCAGCCACAAGGTGACCACACGGTCAAACAGGTTCCGCTCCGCCGTCACCCGGTTCAGCACCTGGTTCAGCAGCTGTGAGGGCAGTAGTCCACTGGTGGCTGGGTGGGCTCACCCTCAGGGCTTCCCCAGGGTCCCACCGGCTCTCCTTGCCCCGATGGACACACCTGTGCAAGACGCCGCAGCAGCATCTCAGAGGTAGGCTGAGTGGAGTCAAGGAATATCTCGGGCACCAGTGTGATGGTCATCTCCAGGACACGCAGTAGACTGACCGAGAGGTCAAAGCAGGTGGCACACACCTTGAGCTGCCGGGTGTCCACAAAGTTCCTCTCTAGGCGTTCGACAGCCTGCTGGATCTGAGCAACGGGCGGGCGGGCACAGTCAGTGGCCTGGCCACAGCGCCAGTCATACCTCATCCTCCACCCCACCCTGACCCACCTCCTGGATCATGCCGATAAACTCGGAGAAGGCCCAGTTGAGCTGGTTGAGGACGCTATTGAGGAAGCTGGGTGCCACGTCGGGATCCTGGCGCAGCAGGTCCGCCATGTGCTGCTGCAGCAGGATGGAGGGACAGGGCTCTGCAGGGACATCAGGGACTCCGGTCAGGGGCCCCGTCTGTCTGCCTCTGTCCTAAAGTTGGGCCATTGGTGTAAGGACAAAGACGATTCTGGGAATGCTCAGGTCACGAAGGCAGAAGGGCAGGGCTAAGTCTGCCTAGCAAGCCACAGCCTGCAGTTGTTTCCAGGTATGGAGCAGCCCCCAGCTCCAGCCCGAGCCCCAGCAAGTTCTCATCCACAGGCCCTCTGGGGAGAGCTAGACATACACAGGGTAACCTAGACCCCTCCTCACTCATACCAAGGCCAGCTTCCCCAAGCACCTCCTCTAAGCCCTGTCGTCCTCTATTGTCCTCTGCTGCCCTTGGCCTGGCTTTGGCATAAGGCCGAGGTGGTGGGCGCCAAGTCTGGGCTGACAGGCAGCAGTAACTAGAGCCCTCAGCTGCAGCACGGCTGGGCAGACCTCCCCCCTTCCCTCATGCAAATCAATAGTTCCTGCAGCCGCAGAGCAGCCCCACTGCCACTCTCCCCTTGCAGCTCAGTTCCACCCTGAAGGCAGGACCAAGGCGACTGGCAAGGACTCATTGTGTGACTTTGCACAAGGCACTCAGCCTCTGGGGACACCCTTCGGGCCAAAACACTGCCCACACAGGCAGAAACACACCATGTGGGTCAAGGAGAGCCAGCAGGTGGGGTGAGTTCAGCGTGCAGCAGGCAGACCGGCAGCTGGACCACCCAAGACCCCGGCTGGCCGAAGGAGGGTCCTCAGGCTCACAGGGCTTTGCTAGACCATGGCCCCAGAAGAGAACATAGCCTCTGCTTCCAACCAAATGCCCCTTCCTCCAGAAAGCCCCATGAACAGCCTCTAGAGCCCTGTCCAACTCCAAGTCTGTGCCCCCCTGGACTCAGGTGTCCAAGCAGATGGCAAAGAAGAGGCAGAAGGACATGGCGCTGGGACAAGGCTTGAGGTCAGGGAGCACGGTCCTTGCTGCACAAGCTGTCAGCAGCCTGGGAAGACACTGCCTCTTTTCACTGTGACCCAGGCAGAGCTTTAGGCCCAAAGGGCACAAGTGGGACTGGGGAGCAAGGCGAAGTAGTCCCAGAGTATCCTTGGGCTAGGGGTACGAAGGGGAACAGAAACTCCAGGGGATAGACAGGGAGTTTGGGGCCCAACACAAGTCCCAGAGAGGGGCTGGAAGAAGTGGGAAAGTCTGAGAACCCAAGAGCAGTGGACAAAGGCCACTGCCTGCCCGGCCTGGATACTCACTCTGGAGGCTGGGCAGGTTGGCATCCTCAGGTTTGATTTTCAGCAGGTGTGGCAGCCGTGTATAGCGGTACCCGAACCCACAGCCCTGGGGATAGGGTCAGTGGAGGTCAGTGGGGCAGGGCCATCCTTCATTCCAGCCAGCCACAGCCACCTCCCCTCTAGCCGGGCTTACCTTCCAGAGCCTCACCAGGATCCAGTTGGTCTGGGCCCAGGGCCGCTGTTCATAAGGAGCCAGGAGACTCCTCACCATGGCGATACGCCTACGAGGGCAAGAGGTGGCAGGCCCAGGATGAGGCTGGGCGTGGTGCTGCTAAGGGCAGGGTGCACACCCTACCCGCAGCCCCTACTCACTGCTCCTCAGGGATCCGCTCCACAGCCCGCAGGGAGTGTGGGTAGCAGACGTAGCTGGCCAGGGCCTGCATCAGCGAGTCACGGATGTCTGCGGGGACATGCCAGGCCTCAGCAGGCGCCTAGTATGAGCCCTGACCCCCATGCCTCATGCCCATCTGGCCAGCATTTTGTGCAGAAAATAGCCAGCCAGAGATGCCATTCCATGCCCATCCCCTGGGCCCTCTGCAGGGCACCTCACCAGTGCCCACGATGCGTGTGTCGGCAAAGTGTTTGGCAAGGATGGCAGCCAGGCGGGTCAGGGTCTCTTCATAGCCTGCAGGGGGGGAGTAAGAGCTGTTGGCTGGGAGTGGGGGCTGCAGAGGCAGGCGTGTCCCTTGGCAGGGTGGGTGGGCTTGGATTCACCGATAGCTGGGGAAAGGCTAAGGCACAGACTCCCTGTGGGGGAAGGCAGTCCTTGCAGGAGTTCTGACTGGGACCAAACCCATCTGAGCACACACACTTGATGGCCCAGTAGTCAAAGCCCCCTGGGCAGCCACAGCTCTACCTCTAAGGACAAAGTTTGCACTGAGGTCCAAGGTGAGGCAAGGGCAGGCCACAGCCTGATCCAGACATAAATCACCCAGCCCAGCCTGGAATCAGGGGTCTGCATGAAGCTGGGGCTCCCATGTGGCCCCCAGCAGGGCTCCACCCCTTGCTGTGATCTATGGAGACAAACCACTGCCCTGCACAGCTGCCACACCCTGTGGCAGTGCCAGGGTGGCAGGGTGAGAGGCCAGTTGGCTCCTGGACACAGCAGCACCAAGTAGAAAGTGAAAGCAAGGATCCGTTTTGCCTGTTTCCTGCCCCAGCACCGGGGAGGAGCTTCTGGTTCTGTCGTACTGGCACCAGGTAGGGCTCTCAGCCACGTGGACGCTAGCAAATGCTTGTCTGATGCAGGCAGAGTGGAGCCGGCTGCCTCCCCACCTCCCCACGCGCATGCATGCTGCTGGGCCATGACAGCCCAGAACAGGACTCCCAGGGCTCTCTCCAAAGGCCCCTCTCCGCCCCCTTCCAGGCTGAATGGCCCCCTCACCTGGGAGCTCCTCCATGCTGTGCACAGGGCCAAAGTAATTCTTGAGAGCACTGTAGCTGTTGATGGCCACACTCAGGTAGAACTCGGGCATGAAGGCAAAGAGAGGACCTGTGCGGTCACCGTGCTCAACGGTCCGCAGACAGACACGCAGCAGCCAGTAGATGTCCAGCATCTTCTCCTGCGGGAGGCACACAGGGGCCACAGTGGGCATGGCCAGTCTGGGAACCAGAAAAGGCCTCCCCAGAATGAGACATGAGAACTGAGAACTGATCCCAGGAAGTCAAGCAGTGGCTCAGGCAGGGTCAGTTGAGCACTCAGCAGGCAAGAAGGGTGCCCCGGCCTGGAGAACTCTGGGTTG